GAGATCTGCCTGCCTCTGCCTCCCTAGTGCTGGGATTAAAGGCATGTGCCAGCATTCCTGGCCCCATCTCCTTTCTTTTAAAAGTAGTTGATTCTAACCACTCCAACAGCTATCAAAATACCTGAAAGCAAATCCTGAATCCATCACTCTCAAGTCCAGCCTTGGAAGACAAAAGAAAAATGAGGAGGAACCCAATAGAAGGATGCTTTTGGAAGCTCTCATCAAGAAATTCACTCTCATATGAACATTTGAAATTTGCCCTGTTCTGACTTTTTTCTAGCTCCCTGTCTAGAACTTGTAATGCTAATTACTCTTGCCTTTACTTCTCCTTCACATCTCCTATTCATTAATTAAGGACTTTCCCCCCTACAGATTAAGAAGTATGCAATTTGGGAGTCTTTTAGTTAGACCCACTGAAGGGGTACCCCAGTTGCCTCACGCTGCATCCCTGTTCAGCATGGAAGAAGCCAGAGCAATCTGTGTCCCAATTCCCTACCTGCAAGTTGGCTAACCCCTTCAGAGGATGGTGAGATAAGAATAGGAGGTAGGAATTGGCTAGGCAGTTAGAGTAAAAAGACCCCAAAGAAAAGTAGCCAGTTTTTTGGCTAAAAGTCACAGAGCATACTCCATTCTAAAGGCCAAAAATGTTGAAAATATTTGGGAATTTTTAGCTAATCCTTAAAAGATTTTAGGGTTACGTCTTCAGAGGGGGAATGTTACAGTAGCCAAAAGCCACATAATCAATCAATCAATCAATCAATCAATCAATCAACCAATCAATCAATCAAATAAGAAGAAAGAGTACATGAAGTTATCAAAAGTGATGGGGAGATATGGGAAGAGTTGGAGGGCAGGGCTTGGGCATGGATTTGATCAAAACACCTTATATGCATGTATGAAATTCTCAATAAATTATTTATTTAAAAAATAGAAAATAAAAAGGCTGGAGAGCTAACCAGGTGGCATTTTTGCCCTTCAGTCCCTTCTGTTACGAGAGGACACCTACACAGCACCAGCTATTAGGAATGGCCCTTCCTTAGATGCAGCACTTGACAGGACCTTGATCTTGAACTTCGCAGGGTTAAGGTAGCAAAAAAGCCGCGTTGAAAAATAATAAAAGAAGAAAAAGAGTACATGAAGTTATCAGAAAAAAGTGATAGGGAGATATGGGAGGAGTTGGAGGGGAGGGAATGGGATGGATTTGATCAAAACACCTTAAATGCATGTATGAAATTCTCAATAAATTGTTTTTTTTAAAAAAGAAAGAAATGTCTTTATGCCTCGAGACATTCAGAATTGGTTAAAACCTAAAGGAAGAAAGTTTTCAAGCTTTCCAAAACTCTGTCAAATTTCTTGGTAATTTGTCCTTTTTAGAAATGTCTTTAAATTGTTTCTTGGAGAGTATGAATAGACAGAAAATATTGAGGTATTATTCTTTTCCTAAGGAACAATGGAATTTTTTAATATTTATTTTCAATAAATTTGGTACAATGCTGATTGAATAGTTAGCATGTCATCCAACTAAATGATAAGTAACTCAAAGTAGATGTACTTGCTATAAATACCTGGAAGGTGTTTTTTCCTTGGGTCAATGTACAGAGCCATAGAATTGGTTTCATTTCCTTATGCACACACATTCATCATCTGTAGTGTAGATAACAGAAGTATAATTACAACTGTAAAACATCCACTTGAAGGACTAGGTATTCCAAAATGTTCTTTGCTGGGCTTCCTGGAAGGTGTTTTTAACAAAGCTATAAAATGTTGCTTTGTTCTCAATATGTGTAGCAATGAAATGAAAAATGTTCCTCACATAAATGTATGTTCCCACCATTCTGAGGTGGGTAAATCTTAATAAAGAAGCATGAATGAGAAAAAAAAGTAGTTATTATGCTGAATGTGGTAGCTCTTCCCTCAGTCTCAGCATTTGGGAGGAGAAGAAGGAGGATCGGTAGTTCAAGGTCATTTTTGACTTTATAGCCAGTGTGAGGAAAACCTGGTTTACATGAGAAATCATGTCAATAAAACAAAACAAAAAGTAGTTACTGCAATAAATGCTGTTATAAAATTTTAATACAATACCATAATATAATTTCAATGTACCAAATGTTTTCGAATTTATTTATTGTGTTAATGCAACAAAACTTGGTTATTCACACTATTAATGTGGTAGTATTGAAGTTTTAACTTTTTGGGGG